TATGGCCTTTATTATGTTAAGGTACTTTCCTTCTGTACTGATTTTGTTAAGTGTTTTGATCATAAATGGGTGCTATATATTGTCAAAGGCTTTTTCTGCATCTATTGATATGATCATATGATTCTTATTTTTTAATTTGTTTATGTGGTGTATCAGATTAATTGATTTGCGTATGTCGAACCATCCCTGTGCCCTTGGATGAAGCCCATTTGATCATGGTGTATAATCTAAATATGTTGCTGTATTCAGTTTGCTAGTATCTTATTTAAGATTTTTGTATCTGTGTTCATGAGAGATATTGGTCTGTAATTTTTGTGTGTGTGTGTGTGTTATCTTTACCAAGTTTTGCTATCAGGGTAATGTTGACCTCATAAAATAAGTTAGGAAGTATTCTCCTCTTCTATCTTTTGAAGAGTTTGAGGAGAGTAGGTATTAAATTTTCTTTGAATGTTTGGTATAATTTACTGGTGAAGCCAGCTGGTTCTGGACTTTTATTTTTTCTAGGTTTCTGATGATTGTTTCAATTTCCATACTGCTGATCAGCCTATTTAGATTTTCCAGTTCTTCCTGATTCAGTCTAGGAAGGCTGTTTCTTTCTAAGTACTGGTCCATTTCTTCTAGGTTATTAAATTTTGTGTTATATACTTTTTCATAGTATTCTTGTATGATCATTTGTATTTCTGTGATGTCAGTCATAATTTTTCCTTTTTCATCCCTGATTTTGTTTATTTGTGTCTTTTCTCTTTTTTCTTTAGTGAGTCTAGCCAGGGGTTTGTCAGTTTTATTCACCTTCTCAAAGAACTAGCTTCGATGTATTTATTTTTTCTATTTTGTTTTGTTATCAATTTCATTTATTTCTGCTCTAATTTTGATTATGTCTTTCCTTCTGCTGACTTTAGTCTTCATTTGTTCTTCTTTTTCTTCTTTTTTAAGATGAAATGTTAGGTTGTTTATTTGGGCTCGTTCTTGTTTTTTGAGATAGCCCTGTAATGATATGACCTTTGCTCTTATTACTGCTTGTGCTGTGTCCCAAAAGTTTTGATGCGTTGTACTATCATTATCATTTGTTTCTGTGTATCTCTTCATCTCTTTTTATTTCTTCTCTGACCCAGTCATTCTTCAGTTGCATGTTGCTTTCTCTCCATGTATTTGTGATTCTTCCAATTTTATTTTTATAGTTGATCTCCAGATGGAAAAGGTAACCGTGCTATTGTAAATAACAGGGGAAATCTTCCTCCAATTCAGTTGACCACCCAGTATCTTGGCCTGCTACCAAACAATGTATCTCATAAGACAGCCTTTGAGGAGATGAAGGATCTTGAACCTGGGGGAAAAAAACACAGGAAATTTATTCACAGAGCATGGATTGAGAGCAAAAGTAGCTAGGTAAGAAATAAAAAAAAAAATGGAGTGATATCAGAAGCATGGTAGCGTGAGAGATACCCCCAGATCTCTCCCTTTGAAGTAACAATAAGCTGAACATCTAAAATTCAACAGATAACACCCAACCCGCACATAAGCATGTCTGAGAGAGTGGTCTGTGCATAAGAGCTATCACAGGTCAGAACCACGGGAGCTGGAAGGTAGACTGGGAAAAAGAAGCTTCCTTTTGCAGCCAGAGCTCCCTGCATGAGAAGGGGAAGGGGAGAAGGTGCGGCAGGTTCCCTGAACAGCCCTGTCTAAGAGAGCTGTGAGATCCACACATTGGCAGTGCCCCAGGATCAGGAGAGAAAGCAAAATAAACTGGGGATGGCAGAGAAGCAACAGCTGATTGTTACCAGCCAGGGTTACAAAACGCTAGGCTGAGCCACAACCGCCAACACCCAACCCTGAGGGCACCCCTTCCCATGCCCTCCAAGACCAAACACTTCAGAACCTCAGGGGAATCTGAGCAAACGCTATCGAAATTGTCACTAACACTACAGGGACTGGGCCTGAGATTGAGTGTAGCAATCATGGTTGAATATTTATAAGAAAATAAAAAGTCATTATTAAAGCTTTATATAAAGCAGAGATCCAAGAGGCTTAGATGCCACATACTGGAAACCAAAAGAAAAACTCCTTCTTAGCAACAGGCTAGAGAGAGATCTTTATATAATAAATCTTCTTTCTGGGGAAAAAAACAAAAAACAGAAAAAGCAGAATACACTTCCATTAATGCCAAAATGGAGAAATAGTCCATTAAACAACATGAACAACTAAAGTGACAAGGCAGCTCAGAAAGAGAAAAATCACCAGAAAATAAGCTTAAAGACAGAAAAATGCGACAGAAATAAGACTGAAATGACAGAGAATTTAGGATGGTACTTCTGGAAAAAAAACGCAATGAGATCCAAAATAATTCATATCAACAATTCTAGGAATTGAAGAAAGAAAGAAAAAACTAGATCAGCAGAATGAGGTTTTTAGCAAGGAGATTAAAACCCTATAAGAGAACCAAATAGAAATTCTGGAGATGAAGAACACACTAAAAGAGATGAAGAATGAAATAGCAAGCTTGGGAAATAGAGTCGACCAAATGGAAGAAAGGATCAGTGATACCGAAGACAGATATCTAAAAATAAATCAGAAGAAAGAAGAGAGAAACTGAAGAATAAAAAATAATGAAAGAGAAATTCAAGAACTAGTCGATACCATCAGGAGAAGAAACATAAGAATAATGGGCATTCTCGAAGGAGAGGAAAAGGAGCAGGGATTAGAAAGTATTCTCAGACAAATAGTTGATGAGAATTTCCCAAATCTAAGGAATGAGCTGGAGCTTGGAATTCAAGAAGTCAACAGAACACTCAATTATCTCAACCCAAAAAGGACTTCATCAAGACACCTTGTGTTAAAATTATCAAAAATAAATGACAAAGAAAGAATTCTCAGGGCAGCCAGGGAAAAGAAGACGGTAACCTATAAAGGAAAACCCATTAGATTATTGTCGGACTTCTCAGCACAAGCCTTGCAAGCCAGAAAGGAGTGGAAGCAAATCTTTTGCCTATTAAATGAAAGGAACTACCAGCCAAGAATAATGTATCCAGCTAAGCTCTCCTTTAGATGTGAAGGAGAAATAAATACCTTTCCAGACATACAAAAATTGAGAGAATTCTCCACTATGAGGCCTGCATCGCAGGAATACTGAAAGGGGTCAGCTCACTTAAAACAAAATGACAAAAAATAAAATAAAATAAAACAAAACATAACTAGGAGAAAGCTGACTAGCAGGCAACTAGAAGCAAGGAGTGCAACCCTTATTAAGAACAGGGCATTATATGCTTGATAAGAGATTTGCTATTGCAAGATAGTAATGAATGTTCAGAATATGTATGGGGAGATTGAGACAACAATGACAGAAAAAGGAAGGATTCAAAGATTCAAATTCGCAAAGAGGAATGGAGATAAAGCACACACAGACGAAAATGGAATATATATATAATTCTCCTTTACATGTTTATAATGGTAACAACATGACAAAGATTCAGAACTGAAGTAGATAACATAAAACAAAAAGAACCAGAGGGAAGACCCACAAAACCCAATCAAAATTAAAATAAATAAATAAATAAATAAGACACACAAGGGCAAGGAAGCAATGGAAATACCGAGTTACCAGAAAGCAAAAGATAAAATGGCTATAGGAAAAATTCGTATTTCAATAATCACCCTAAATGTAAATTGCCTGAACTCACCAATAAAAAGACACAGAGTTGCAGATTGGATCAAAAAACAAACCCCAACCATATGCTGCCTCCAAGAGATACATCTAAGTTCCAAAAACAAATATAGTCTCAAAGTGAAAGGGTGGAAAATGATATTTCAAGCAAATGGCATTCAGAGAAAAGCGGATGTAGCGGTACTAATATCAGATGAAATAGACTTCAAAGTATAAAAGGTAAAGAAAGACACTGAGGGACACTTCATAATGATAAAGAGAATCATACACCAAGAAGACATAACATTTATTAATATC